CAAAAATAATGACTGATGATTCTGTTATTTCAGGATAAGAAAGAAGCCTGCTACAAGAGAGACAGCGGAAGGGAGCCTCAAAGACATTTTTATTAGGATCTGCTAATCATGAGGGGGCAGACAAAAGAACCTGCATTTTCCTTCAGCTTAATATCAGGGGTCGCCACAGCGTAAGGAACTGGATATTACTTTGGCATATGTTTTACACAGCCTTCCAGCTGCAACCCAGCACTGTGAAACACCCATACACTCTCGTATTCACAGACACTTCTACACTATGTTCAAATTCACCTATAGCACAAGTGTTTGGACTGTGGTGGAAACCCACACCAAAACAGGGAGAACATGCAAACTCCACACAGAAATGCCAGCAGACCCAGCCGGGACTCATACCAGCAACCTTTTTGCTGTGAGGTGACAGTCTGAGCCACTGTGCTGCCCCAGTGTAGTTATTAATAACCTCCAGATGTTTTACAGTTTGATTTTGTAATAATAATGCACGTTTAGATTTATTGTAATATGTTAATATTTATTCGCAATGTAATTTATTCTTATGTTATTTATAATAACGTTAAATGTCATAAGAATGTTATAATTTAATATAATATTATAATAAATAATTATAATAATGTTAAAATATAAACAATACAATTTTTTTTAATAGTTTATTTTTATAATGAGAAGTCTCAAAGTTTGTCTTTATTATAGAAAACTCATTGTTGAATGGCTACCACTTTACAATAAGGTTGTATGTATTCGTTAATGTATTTACTAACATAATAAACAATACATTTATTACAGTATTTATTTATCTTTGCTAATGTTGGTAAATGGTAAAAAGTTGTTAATTGTTTATTCATGTTAACTCGCAATGTATTAACTAATGTTAACAAGCATGACTGATTTTATTAATGCATTAGTAAATGCTGTACATAAATTATGCTGTACAGGTATTGTTCATATTAGTTCATATTTAAACCATTAACATTACTTATAAAACTACTGTAAAATGTAACTGTTGTATGTATGTTGTTATATTATATTTGTATGTATTTTATATGTATTTTATATTTATTTTGTTATATTTGTTAACGTATGTGTTTTTGAAACATTTCATTAAGTGTTTAATGTATGTTCGTTATGCAGTATTATAAATAAATGTTATAATGATTAAGTATTTTGTACTTGATTTCATTATTGGACATATTTATATTGAATACAATTGTAAAGGCTAATATAATATTTAAAAATGACATGTGGACTGACCGCGGGCAGCCAGCAGACACTTATTTAAAACCAGCGGTCCGATGGCGGACCACCGTCGGAAAAGCGGCGGGAGCCGATGGTGGGCCGCTGGAATAACGATGAGCAAATTGACGGTGGACCGCGGGCGGCGCCCGCCAGAGGACCGCCGACTTTGCCGCCAGTGGCCCGCTGGTCTTATGTTAGCTGGGATAATACAAATAAATAAAAGTAAATAGACAAAAAAGACGTCAAAAATACTGTAAAATGACGTCAAAAAGACGCCGAAAAGACGTCGAAAAGACGTCGAAAAAAGACGTTGAAAAGACGTCAATAAAAGACGTCATAAAAACTTTCATTCTGGCTCTTCAGAGGACGTAATTTCAACGTCTGACAGAGACGTAGAAAAGACGTCTTTTGGACGTAACTTTGCTTGGTGGGTAAATGCCACGTTTTTGTCCCATAAAGTACTTCTATTTATCAAGCAGTCAAAAGCAAAACCAGACAAAAGCATTCAGCAGACAACAGTACAAAATGGGATAATGACTACAGGCCCGGCGCTACGGGGGGGCAAAGGGGGGCATTGCCCCCTCAGAAAGATTTTGTGCCCCCCCAGTTTTTATAAAGGATTGTTTACTCAAACTGAAAAGTCATTAAATATTAACACCCCCGTCGTTCCAACCTTAAGAACACACATTTAAATATTTTAAAATATATGACATATCAATTGAATTATGAAAATGGTGAGATTAAAGCTAGTCCTATAGTTCAGAGATCCGGTCCCCGCGTCAGGTCAGGTGCGCCCGTAAATAGCCTTTAAAACGCGCACACGGCGATGGAGGCGCACTCAACTCACAAGGGAGAAAAGTGGGTGACATGATAGGAGCAGCTTAATTCGTTACATGCTTTGGTTAACTAATTATTTAAACACAACTCTCTTGAGCTCTAAAAGGAAAAAACACATAAGAAACTTGCTGTTAAATTAATTTTAGCAGAGACGCAACTGCCAGTCATTTATTAGTTCGGGAAAATGTAGCCTAATAAAAATGTTTTAATAAAAACAAATAGCCTAGTTTACTGCACAGTCCCACAGTAGGCTACACTATAAATAATATTTTAATTTATTTATCATTATTATTATTAATATTATTACAATTAAACTAAAATTGACAACGCAGAACTCTCTGAATGTTTGCTTTCATTTTGCTAAAAAGCGCACTTTTACAGTTGTGTAGAGAAACATCCCATTATGCAGCAGCTATCAAGGTATAACACATAATAAATGCCTTTTGCGTTTATTAAGTCAAATTTGCAGTGTTATAAATGGAATATAGTGCCTAAGTGGATTTATCGCGGATCAACCGAAACCTCACGTGCTGCAGGTAGGCAGAATGATAATCTTTTAAAATGTCATTTATGCTATACTGCTTTTTGCTCATGCAAAATTAAACAACATAAAATATATTGTAGATCTATTTTAAGAGCTAAAATACAACATATTGAGTTTGTTTTGACTTGTAGCCCTAAAATGAAAATAACCTGAAAACAAGCTATTAAAAAAAGGCTTAATAAATAAAATAATTAATAAATAAAATGACGGGTAGGCTTAGTAACCTAATGGTTTATGATGGTTTACAATATCACGAAAAAAACACACTTATGATAGCCTAAGATAAATCTTTGTTTTTACATTTAAAATGATGAAAAAAAAAGTTGTAGGCTATAGCATGTTGAGTTGCGTGTTATCCGTGCCAAAATTTAACCAATTTTAACGGTAATAACATGTGAATTTTGGTATCTTTTTTGGCATTTTTTTGGCTACACTAATGCATTAAAATGAAACTAAGTAATTGTTTTAAATGACATTAGATTGTAACATTTAGCTTTTCCCTAACACTGATGTTGGTTGGATAATATAGGCTACGTGAAGCGTGATGACTCGGTTAAGCTGATTTCACTATATTTATTTACCGGTTAAATTAAAAGTCTGATCGTGGGTCAGCTTGCATGCGTGGGCATAATTTGACGTCTTTACCCAAAACTTTAAACATTCATAGGCCTGTTATTTAAAATAAAACGGATATAAGGAGAATAACATATGATTTAAAGCACTCGTTTGGCACTGAAGCTATGATCCGTATGCATTAATAAGCGGTATGCATCGTTAATAAAATTCGTAATAGCGAAACTGCATATTATTATTACTATTAAAACGTAGCCTATATTACTGCCTTAGGTCAGTAACTTAGGCAGTAATGCAATGTAATAATAAATGTGAATAAATAGCCTAAATGAAAGAAACAAGAGACCAAAATCAGTCACCAGGTCTAGTGCCCCCCTATGGATTTAAAGTGCCCCCTCAGTTTTGACTTCCTGGCGCCGGGCCTGAATGACTAACAGACTGGTGGATGGATTAAACATGAAAAAAGTCTAAAAGCGTACCACTTCACCGAGAAGCAACAGTCCTTTTCGAGAGGAGATGAATTCTTTGCTGGGGAGAACGGACTGAAGTACGGTCTGTGGTGCTCGGTTGCTCCGCGGATCCTCGATGTCCCCCATCCCGCCGATCAGTCTATTCTGTTCCCGAGTAAAGTTGACGGGGAGGCGCCCTGCTCTGCTCTCCGCTAGAGACAGTCAGCAGCTGCCCACTCTTCGCAAATCGGCATAACTTTCCACGGACTGGAAACGGAAATAATGACAGTGCGGAAACGAAGCACACAAAAGAGCAACATCTGCATTCCCAAAATCTGGAGACCGTTAATAAGTGAACATAAAATGTGGGCGAAACATCTCTCACAGGACGCAGAGGCAACTGTAAAGACATACACTGTGCAAAAACTGCACATTTTCCATCTGCAGGACAGATTTAACCCTAGTGCTGCTCTGTTTGGGGTCTGACAAACATCAAGCCCCCTTTATCTATGGTTCATATATTGTTTTTAATCATTAAATGAATGAGATTGTTGCTGACAAACGTGAAAAGTTTGAGTTTGCGACTAAAATAAAGATTGTTTAAAAAACTTAATAATAATAAATGATTGATGATGATTTTTGTCTGTTGATTAACATTAATACCTTCTGTAAATCATAGTCGAAATATATTATAATCGTTATTATTTTCTGAAATAAACTTTTATTGTTTTAGATTACTTAAACCCCTTTTAGTCTTTGACCCTAGTCTCCAGTTCAGAGTTCGCCACAGTGGAATGAACTGCCAACTTATGCAGCATATGCTCACACACACTCATACATTATGGTCGATTTAGTTTATTTAATTCACTTAGTGAGCATCAGGGTGGCACAATAGGTAGCACGATCACCTCACAGCAAAAAGGTCGCTGGTTCGAGCCTCAGCTTTGTCATTTCTGTGTGGAGTTTGCATGTTGTCACCATGTTGGCATAGGTTTTTTCTGTGTGCTCCAGTTTTCCTCAAAGTCCAAAGTCATAAATTGGCGGTTCATTCCGCTGTGGCGACCTCAGATTAATAAAAGGAAAAAAAAGAAAAAGAATGAATGAATGATAATTCACCTATAGCGCATGTCTTTGGACTTGTGGGGGAAACCGGAGCACCAGTAGGAAACCTACACCAACACGGGGAAAACATGCAAACTCCACACAGACATTTCAACTGGCCCAGCCGGGACTTGAACCAGTGACAGTGCTGACCACTGAGCCACCATGCACCTTGATAAAAACATAATCCGAACACATTTAAAGACAATTTTCTCAGCATTTATTTATCAATTGCACCTCCAGAATCTGTTTGAAACCCTTTATTTTGCAGATTTGTGTGTAGGTTTCAGTCTTTTCAGTGATTCTAATTCTTTTGCACATTATTTATGAACAAAAGTATACATCATACAACAGTATAATATACTTGACACTCTCATTTTGGCTGTAAAAATGGCCCACTCACTCACTAAATGAGTCAACACAGTTATGAGGCATTACTCTTCCCCTGTTTGGGCTCTTGTGGTGGTTCTTGGCTTGTTGAATGTGATTTTTTTTAAAAGAATATAGCCATCCAATGACCACAAGGCTGCAGCCACAAAGCCCACGATCTGTCAAGCAAAACACCATTTTGTAAGAAACACGTTGTGTCATGATGTTTGGGTTATCCACAATGAAAGATTTGATATGTTTGATAAAGTATAATACACTCTTAAAAATGCTAGGTTGCTTCAGCCTTAAAATTTGGGTCAAATATGGACAAACTCAACCGTTGGGTTACATATTTATTTAACGGTTTAACATTTTAGTTTGGCCATGTTTGACTGATATTTGTGTCTACAGTGCATATAGTCTTAAACAGTGGCAGAGTTACAGGAATACAGGATGTCATGTTTCTCACCCCTCCGCTCAAAGTGCCCTTCACTGTGAATGTTGAAACTGCAACCATGCTAAGAATAAACATGAATGCAGCTGCAAAGAGTGAGTTGAACACATCCTGTGAGAGCAAAAATGCATTAGTTTGCGGTAACAACTTGCAGGTATAAATAGATAAAGTTCTCACTGCAAAACATTACCAAAACTCAGTCAATCAGTCAAGTGGATTAGATTGTTGCTTACAATAAGAGGCCAGAAGAAGAAAGTGAACACTTTGTTGAGTTTCAGAAGGTAGAGCAGAAAAAAACCAAGCGTGATGAAAAACTCTATGCAGGTCGCTGCAATGTAGGGCGGCCGAGATGCCACTGCATACGACACAAAAGCCACAAAAACACACACCTGACCAGAAAATAAAAACACACGTAATTCAGGAGTTACTTCTGGTGTAGATCATGAGCTACAACTGCTTCACTTCTACAACAGTCTTTCAGTTTGTTACATTGTGTCAAATGATGAACACACATTACCATGTTAGTTAACATGCTTACATTGTTTCCCTTTCTAACAATGGAGTACACAAATATGAAGACCATGCTCACGCAGATAGTATTTAAAGAGACTAGTGATTGAGAGTAACATTTGCCCTGCCAAAAATGTATCAAAGAGATAAATGTGTTACATTTCTCACCATCTCTGCTATTTTCAGTAAACCTTTTGAGGACTTCAACAAGGCCAAATCAACTTCCATTGTGGCATTAATGTGAGCTTTGCGTATGTGTTTTGTCGATGGATTGTTATAACATCATGACAAACTTGCACATTACTTCCTGAGTGAGTATTTCCTCTTTGTCACATGAGGAAATGACTAAATGTGTCTTTTTCAAAGATGTAGTAAATATCTTTGTTTGGGGTTTAAAGCATTTTGACTTTCGTTGAACTTCTCTCTTTATATTTGGTGATAATAATTCTGTACAGACTGATAACTCACTTAAGTGATTACCAAAATGTGAAGTGAGAAATATAATACACTGAATTTTTGGCATTTGTAAATTGCAGCTGGTCTATTTTATACTGCAGAGACCATTGTAATTCTGGCATGGTCATCCAGGAGATCGTTGTTGGTCACTAGTTATTTCAATCAAAATAAAAGTCATCTTTTATATATGAAATCACCTACTATTTTAAGGGGGCTTAATTGTGGCTGACAAACAATATAAAGCAAGCACAGTGCCTTCAGTTAGGTTGTTTTTGTCATGCTACTTCATTAATTTTGTTAGTCATGTGCATTCTATTATTTTATATTAAGACGTCTGATACAACAGCATGTTATGTAAAACACGAAGCAGTGATTTTTTTTAAGTCAACTGATAAAATAGCATTAAATTCTTCCCTATGATAATTTATAAAAGCAATAGGCAAAAAAAAGGTTTCATGCTGAATTAATTTTAATTAACTAAAACTGTTTGCTACAAAAAAATACCTGGGTACATTATTTAAATATGAATTTCTAAATAATAATACTACTAATAATAATAACAACAACAATAATAACAACAGCAATAAAAAAGTGCCTGTATTTTGTCAACGTAGTTTGGGACTTTTATTTTGACATGTTTGGTTGCTCCTTAGTGTTGCACGTAACATTGCAAGTTTAGAGCATCATCATGAGTTTACATAACTCTTGCGCCTTTATATGTAACTTCTAGAGATCGAAGGAGCAAACGGGATGATTGTAAACTCCTTTAAAGGGTTGTGTCGTGTTGTCTTACCTCTGTATTCACACAAATCTTTGTCAACAAATATACTTGTCCGACATAGAGCAGCGCTGGGGAAGCATTTACTCGGGCACTGGCGCAGCAGCACATCTCACGGTAAGTCCTCTGTCAGCTTCCGTTCCACGCAATATAACAGCGACCACCTCTCTGCTTTTCATTCACATTTAACGTTATTAGTTCTCGTCAATTTCACATTGTCCTTAAATTTTGACTAACCGGCTATGTCATGTGCAAGACGCCTTGTTACAGTTAACGTGTCTCACAATTTTGAGATGAGCTTAATAAGCTCGTTGTCTTTTGCGTCCCCGAGCCTCTGAATGTCATACAGTATTACCGCTTAATCTGAGGAGATTGTCATGATGTTTTCTTCTTCTTCTCAAGGGAAACTGGTCAGAAATGGAGAGGGAAAGAAGTCAGTGGTGAGTTGAACACTGCAGCATCTCTTCTCTGAAAGATGGACGACTGAAAACAGTGAATGAGTTCTTGTCATTGATGTTTATGGGTCGTTGTTTTGATCAATTCTTCCACACTATTCAGATTTGTTTAGAGGGAAATATAGCAAGTGGAAAAACGACATGTCTGGAGTACTTCAGCAAGACCAGTGACATTGAGGTAATACAGAAAAATTATGTAATAATGCTCACAGTGCCAGAAGTCTCTCATCCTTTAACCCTGTTATTGATTTATTTGATTGAATAATGGAATTTATATAATGAAACCCACAAATCAGCCACTTTTTACTCAATCTGGTGTTTTAACACAGAGTGCCTTTCCTTGTAAAAAAAATAAAAAAATCAAATGAAAAAAAAATAAATGTGTTACGTTTCTGTTAGAATGTCCCTTACCACAAAAGGTAAGGGACATTCTAAATCCACCAGAAAAAACCCAAATCACTGTCAAAACTTGTATTTACATGTTAAGTGTTTTCTCCCCATTGAAGTCTATTATAAAGAAAAAGCTTAATGTGGCTTAATGTACCTTAACAACAAGCGAGGGAAACCAAATTTCTATCAAATTGTACTTGTGATTAGCACTACTAGCAAAATAATGAGCTCTAATTTTAGTGGGTGAAAAACATTGCTTAACGTACCTCAACAAGTCTGCACACCAAAACTGTATGACATTTTACTTGTAATTAACACTAACTACTAGCAAAAGATCAAGCCCTAATTCTGTGGATGAAATGAACAATGTGAAATTACTCTGTCTTCTAAAAGAGCCTTATTCTAGTTGCTAATGAATACAGTTGTATAGATTAGCATGAGCAGTACATTTACAAAAGAAAAATGTCCCTTTGTTATCTGAGATAAAGAAGGGCATTCTGTGTTGTAACATCAGGTTGTGTGAATGGTGACTGCATTTTCAATTTGGTGCAAACCGTCCCTTTAAAAGCTAAAAAAAAATGCCTGTTATGTTTCAGGTGTTGACAGAGCCTGTGTCCAAATGGAGAAATGTACAGGGATGCAATCCATTGGTAGGACTTCAGTGGCGCCTCATTATGAGTTTAAGGAGTGCTGTGTTCTTTCTGTTTACTTTAAGTTATCATCATTGTAAAAACACACTGGTTTATTAATAGTTTTCACTGCATTTGTTTTGGTTATTTATAAATAGAGGCTATAGCTAATGCATTTATGTTTCACATAATAAAGCGTACTGTACTTCTACGTTGCAAAACAATGTGTATTTGAGTTACAAATATTGTCTTGGTCACCCTAACTTATTTATTCTACCGCAGGGATTGATGTACCAGGACCCGACTCGATGGGGACTCACTCTTCAGACCTATGTTCAGCTTACAATGCTGGATCAACATGTCTCGCCAATGGCATGTACAAATACTCTTTGACATCAGTTGTATTTTCACTTGCTTCACATGCATCTGTTTTTATTCTGCTGTACAATCAGTATCCCTTCCTTCTTGGTGATTGGAAAAAAATAAATGACTTCAATAACTTCTTGTTGTTTTCATTATGATTACAGACAGCACCTATCAGAATGATGGAGAGATCTATTTACAGCGCAAAGTACATATTTGTGGAAAATCTTTATAAAAGGTATGTTTTTTTTTTTTACCAAAGCCATAGCTCTCTTATTTTTAACCTAAGATTGAACTAATCATTAAATGAGTACTTCTGTGTTGTTTTGTTTCCTTGACAGTGGAAAGATGCCCGAGGTGGACTTCGCTGTTTTAAGTGAATGGTTTGAGTGGATCATCAAGAACATCTCTCTTCCTGTGGACCTCATTGGTATGACACCTATATATGTGTTTTGTATTTTATAGGGCCGCACGATTCTGGCTAAAATGAGAATCATGATTTTTAATTTTGTTTTTGCTTAAAATCAAGAACACGCTTTTCTCACGATTTTGTAAATGTAAAACCAAGGTTAATACGAGTAGACTATTATCACTGTTATTTCTCAAACATATGGTAACAACAACAATAATATTAGGCCTATGTGTATGTTCAGCATTTCTGTATATATATTATGGAAGAATGCTTCCTTGTCAAACTCTGAATTGATTTGATATAGTAAATTTAAAGCCATGTTGTCTGTTCAACCACTGTATGAATGGTCAATGCTTGACAGCCTGTAGTGCGGGAATGTTGATAAGCCTTCCCTTTTCAAAATGTGCTGCATGCAGTAGACCAATCACAACAGACTAAGCCATCAGACCAATCACTGCAGATTAGTGTCATGTAAAGAAGAGTTTTGGAAAAACGTTTCATTTAGCAAGCCTTATGTGTGTCGTTGTGCAAATGAAGTAAACTAAATGCTTTTTTTAAGACAGTGACAGTGTTTCTAGAACTTGCATGCATTTCAGCGTGTTCTTAAGGATTCCCAAAACTTAAATATCAATCTTTTCATAATCCATGATAAGGGTGCTTAAAATAGTTAGTGAAATGCTGGATGTTACCGTTTTTTTTTTGTTTTTTTTTTTACCGTTTCCAGTTTACCTGCAAACCTCACCACAGACCTGCCATGAGAGACTGAAGCAGAGGTGCAGAGAGGAAGAGAAGGTTATTCCCTTGGTGAGCTCAGCATTTCTTCAGTTTTTGTCCAACCAGTGCATGAAAAACAGAACTGAAACACAGCAAATGTGAAACTAAACCCAACGCACAATCTCCAAGGCTCTGTTTCTGCATGAGACACATTACCATACAGTTCCACCTTTTATTTAAGGGCACCTATGATGAAAATCATCTTTTCGAAGCCGAACCGTGTGTAGGTATAGTGTGTCCACAGTCATATTGGGGGAATAGAAACACAATAAGCCTTTTTTTTTTTTTTTTTTTTTTTTTTCATTTCCTGACGTTAAAATTTGGTCTGTGTATCAACATGTTTCTGTAGTTACACGTATAATCATATCCACAGGACGTGCGCCGGTGTGTGGACGTTAAATCAGGATTATTTGGTACATTAACATGACGCATATCCATACAGCAGTGTATATTAACATGTATCCTGTCACATTTTCCATGCAAAAACAGTGCAAAGTTAAATGTGTGTGCGTGAACTTTGTAATGATATTGTGTGTGACTCATTGTGGCAGAAAGGCTTGAATTAACTTCACAACAAATACATCATTGGGAAAGTTCCTACAGTAGTATTTTCTTACAAACGTTACCTGAGACCTGATACCTTCATGTCTGTCACTGTGCTGTTTATCTGACGCAGCCGAGGCGGAGATTAGGGCACACTCAAACAGCAACATTTTGTTCAGAGCAACAATCTAATTGGTGTTTTGAGCTGAAACTTTACAGACACATTCTGGAGACAGAAAATATTTATCTAACATCTTGGAAAAAAGATAAAATAGGTGCCCTTTAAAATGTCCAAGTGCGTTCACCTGAAATGTGATTTAAATAAGCTTTTCATTGATGTAGGGTTTAAAAAAAAATAGAAATACTGAGAAAAGCGTTTTTCAAATTGGTCAATCTCATTTTTTCGCAGTGAATATTACTAATTCAAAATGTTTTGGTATATTTACAATAGAAAAAGTACACTTTTTCGTCAAAGAACACAATCTTCACTTAATATTCTAATGATCTTTAGCATAAAGGAAAAATGACCTATACAATGTGTTTTTGGCTATTGGCAATATAGGGAGATTTTGTGGTCAAGATTTTACATTTAATTTAATCACTTTTGTGAGAGCACTCACTG